AGCCCAAAGGGACTAAGATAGCAGTAAGTTATTAAAGCACAGCATGCCCATATTATTAAATAGTTAAAACAAGATTGAAAGCTAAAAGTTGTTATTGTATGTCTTAGAACTCAGGGATAGACCCTAAAAAGATTGAGATTCAATGGCTATTCCATCTTTGCTTCTAACAAAATTTTCTTATTACTGGGGGGAAAAAAATGTGTGAAGCTTTGAAAATGAAGGGATTTATAGTCTAAAAAATTCAGTTCCCATGTAGATTTACGTTATCAAAGAGCAGGGAGAAAAAAAGCTAGTAAATTGAGATCTCTGGACTTGATTTATAGTTGGACTTGATCCTAATATGAAAAGTGAGTTTAGGTGCGCCTGGGTGGCTCAGTCAGTTAAGTGTTCAACTCTTGATTTCGGCTCAGGTCATGACTTCAGGATTGTTAAGATCAAGCCTCATGTCCTCAAGCCTCACGTCCATGCCCAGCACAGAGCCTGCTTAGGATTCTCTCTCTCTCCCTCTCCCTCTGCTTTCCCCCAACCTTAAAAAAAAAAAAAAAAAAAGTGAGTTTAGGAAGTGAAGTCTGCTGCTGCTGTAATTATCAGCATGCATTGCTCTCATGCTGAGCACTTCACATCCCATGGACTCATCTGATCTTTATAACAACCCTATGAGGATTAGAGATCAAACAACTTGCTCACAATCACACAGCTAAAGAGGTTGAGCTAGATCTGAAAGCAGATTCTTGCTGCTAGAGCCCATTATTCCCAAGCTCTATGGCTTCCGATTGTTATAGGAAGGATACAAACATTGAACAGCTCAGTTTGTTGTTGTGTTAAGTAGGCTCCATGCCCAAAGTGGGGCTTGAACTCACAACCCTGAGATCAAGACCTGAGCTGAAATCAAGAGTGGGATGCTTAACCAACTGAGCCACAGGTGCCCCGACAACTCAGTTTTAATTGGGCCTTTACCAGTTCATCAGTATCTGATGAATCTAGATGCTTTCTCAGTTCCCCAAGCCCTTTTGCAGAGTCTCAGACAAGTCTCTCATGTTCAAGCAAAATTAATGTTTACTATGTGTACTGGGGAGGAAGCAATGATTTACTGCGCTCTTACTATGCTGAAGTGCTTTACATACCTCATTTAATCCCCACAACAGCTCCATGGATAGAAATTATTCTCACCATTTTTTAGATGAGACAATTGGACTCAGGGAAGGTATACACCTAGTAAGTGACAGGGCTGTGGTCTGAGCCCAGTTTGGGTGTCTCCAAAGGCTATGCTCTTTCTATTGTACCTTGGGGATACGAGCCGCTGAGGCCTTCTATAGCACGTTGCCCACAAAGGGGCAGGGTTGAGAACTCAAGTTGATGCTAAGAAGGCAGAATAAAAGGAATGAAAGATAACGTGTCATGTTAGATTAATCAGTTGGCTTCCTAGAGATATGCTATATGAGTTGTTTTAAAGGAGAGGAGGGAGGGGCAGAATTCATAGACAAAGACACCTAGGCAGGAGGAAAAGATTATGGAAAATGCAGAAAATCTGAAAGTCCTTAATATAACCATCTGTATAATCATTACCAAATTCTTACAATATAAGCAAATGAAATACTTTTTAGGAAATCTTACTTCATCAACAGTAAGTAAACCTCTCAACACTGTGTATATGCCAAAAGAACTAGCAATTCTCTTTAAGATGCTAGTTCAAACTAGGACAGGTTATTAATGCTTTAACATAGCTGATCTCTAACAAGTGGGCATTTGTTGGCTGATGTAAAAGGATCTGGCAATTTCCAGTGGTGGCTTTTACTGGGTAAGTCCACATTTCAACGCCACTCCTAGCTGCCAACAAGTGTCAGTTTCAGCAGAAATCACCTTGCTTCAGGGTAAATTCCCTTCAGGTCTAGGATGGGGCACCTAGTATGGGGAGAGCTCACAGCCAGAATACATACACAGGGAGTAAGGTTTTTTGAAATTATTTAATAGCTTTCCATAAGCATATTATCTTTCATGACAAACAAACAATAATAACAAAAAACAGGAGAAATTTTTTTTTACTATCACCTTATCATCTGCCTGCGCATATCAGAATATAATTCTAAATAACTATTTTCCAAAAGTTCTTATTTTTAAAAGCTTAAATCTAGATGAAGCATTCAGTTTTTTTTCCTACACCACATCAGAGTGGCAGCTCATAAAAATGCAAATTCATAGTTATTTTTCTGCCTACTGATTTTGAGGGGAAAGAAGTGACTATACGTAATTCGGGAACTTTCCACCACATTACCATGCTGCCCACACAAGATGCCCTTACTATTGCCTCTTCCTTCATGAATCTCTAGTTGATTCCTTGTTCAACAACGCCACTCTTAACATTTTCTCCTGTCTCCAAGCTCTAAACTCTATTCCAAAAGCTCTGCCAACCTCCTTTCTACCTCAAAATGCCCCTGAATATTTATCTACCCTCTCAGAGAAAGAAGTATCGTCCCTCCTTCCCGCCATGCTCCTGACATCATCCACTCCTCCAGGACCTCCCTCAATAATGTATCGGTAACAAAACTCACCCATCTTTGATAGACTTCCTTCTCCTACATAGCTTCCAGGTCCCATCAACTTCACCCCAAATACACTGGTAACTACGATGTAACAACATCTTCTTTTTCTCACTGCCAACACTCAGGCTATCCTTTTTGCTCACTTAGACAGCGGCAACATCCATCCTCCCAACTGCTCTCTCTGTGCCTGATTTCTCCCTTTCCAATTCATCAGATCTAATGCACCAGCTTCATCCTCTTAAAACACAGTCCTGACTTTCACTTTTCTACCTACAAAGCTTTAACTGGATTGATTATATATCAAATCACTTTCAAAGTTCATAGCATGGTATTTTAAGCTTTCCAAAAAGGTGGTCCCCACACATCATATTTTTTAATTGCACCACGCTCTCTCCAACAAGAGAAACGAAACATAAAATACAACATACAAAATGTAACCTGCTGAATACTTACTAAGCATCACTCATTTATTTTGCTGTTCATTTTTAAATTATTTCTTTTACTGAAGGCCTACCATGTATCAGGTACTATTGTAGGCAATGGGGATGCAGCAGTGAACCTAACAGGCAAAAAGCTCTGTCTTCATGCAGTTTACAATTCAAGTGAGGGAGACAGATAATAAGGAAATAAGTAAAATATTATAGAGTATATCAGATGGCAATAAGTGCTGTAAAGAAAAATAAGGCAGCAAAGGACAATAGGGAATGGTTAACAGGGCTGTGATTTAAAAGCATTAAGGCTGGGGCGCCTGGGTGGCTCGATCAGTTAAGCGTCTGCCTTCAGTTCAGGTCATGATCCCAGGGTCCTGGGATCGAGTCCCACATTGGGCTCCCTGCTCAGCGGGAAGCCTGCTTCTCCCTCTCCCTCTGCTGCTCCCCCTGCTTGTGCGCTCCCTGTCGAATAAATAAATAAAATATTTTTTAATAAATAAATAAAATAAAAGCATTATGGTTAAGGAACGGCTCACTGAGAAGGTGACATCTGGGCAAAGATTCAAAGGAAATGAGGGAAAAAGCCATGAGGATATTAAGGGAAGACAATTCCAGGCAGAGGGAATATAGTAGAAAGCCCCTAAATTGGGAACACCCTATGTTTCAGCAACGGCAAGGAGGACAGTGTGACTAAAGCAAAGTAAGGGCAAGCATAGTAAAACAGAGAAAAGTGGGGCCAGATCATGTAATGCCAGTATAAGAACTCTGGCTTTTACTGAGTGAGCTAAAAGCATTGGGATGGCTTTGAGCAGAGAAGAGTCACAATCTGACTTAAGTTTCAAAACAATCACTCCCAAATAAATAAATAAATAAAATGATCACTCCAGCTGGTGCGTGGAGAAGAACCTGCAGGGGGCAAGGTTAGAAACAGGGAGACCAGGCAAAAAAACGATGGAGGCTTAGACCAAGGTGGTAGTAGAAAACAGAATTTGCTGACAGATTAGACTATGTAGTGTGAGAAAAAAATGAGCCAATGAGGACCTCAAGGATTTTGGACCAAGGATCTGGTAGGACAGAGAACCAAATCCTGGAGATGGGGAAGCTGATGGGAGGAATACATCATTAAAGGGGAGTAGGAGCAAATCAGGAGTTTATACATGTTAGCTTCGGGATACCTATCAAGTATCCAAGTAAACTTGTCAATTAAGCAGTTGGATATACACCTTGTAGTTCACTGGCTGGGTCCATGCTGAAGATATGTGGGAGTCATCAGTGTAGGTATGGCTTTAAAAGCATGAGACTAGAGGGGATCCCTAGGGAGTGAATGGAGATACAACCGAGGCTTGGAACATGCCAACATTAAGAAATTTGGAGATGAGAAAATAGGAAGAGAGGCCAGGAAGAACATCCAGTGGGTAAGAGGAAAGTCTAGAAGTATAATATCATGAAGGCTGAGAATGAACCACTGAATTTAGCAACATGGTGGTCACTGGTGACCTTGACAAGAATAGTTTTGGAACAGTGATACGGATGAAAGCTGACTGGAGTGGGTTCAAGAAAGACTGGGATGAGAGGAAGTGGAGACAGTGAGTATAGACAGGACTTTCAAGGCAGTATAACCATATGCTGGAGCATGTGCTTTACAGGATACTTAAGAGAGATAATTCTCTTAATCCTTGCATCAACCCTATGAAATAGGTACCATTTATTATTCCCATGTACAGATCAGAAAACTGAGGCTCAGAGAAGTTCAATAATTTGTTCAAAGCCAGAATCTGAATGGCAAGGCCAGGACCCCAACCCAAGTTTGTCTAATTCTAAAACCTAAAATTGGCAACTCTGTGATGGAGCCTCCCAATCTTTGGGAGGAGGCAGCTGTGACCTATTCCTATTCCCAAGGATTTACTTGTTCTTTTAACAGGGTCCTATACCTCTGAAGCCAGACCTCTTGGAAAACACCAAAGCAGATCCACATTTCCCCTTGTGTATTTGTCAGTGTTCCTGTAAACGAAGTCATCACTGCACTGACCTGAGTTAGGAAGAACTGATCCTTTGCCATTCTTCACATCCACCACCCAGGTGGCTTCTTTACCCTCAGGGCCGTCCTTCACCTTGAAGGCAAAAATACCACCGATTTTCTTCACAAACTGTTCCCCTTCCTGGAAGGAAAAACAAAACAAAACAACAAAACGCTGGGAGTTGTATTACATTTGTTTCTCTGGCTTTTTCTCTAAATTGAATGTTTAAATAGATACATGATGTGAGCAGCTGGGCCAGCCGTAGTCCCCAGGCTCCCTCAGGATCTTTTACCCAGAAAAATCTGAAAGGCAACAGGCAACAACTCCCTCATCTGCCAAATCTTTTGTTAAAAATGGCTTTCCGGATACAACTGGTGGAAGAAAAGGGAGAATAGGGGTTGCACAGCAGTACGTTCTACTGAAGTAGCTTTCCTTTATCTCAATAATTTCTGAAAGATTCACTCTGGCCTATCTAAATGTAGGAACCCCCCATTCCCTCTTTTTTTGCAGGTAAATTTCTTTACATGTGTTTCTGGTTTCCCACAATCAGAACTTAAAGATAAGGGTTCTGAGAACAAGTCTTTTATTCTGGGGGCGGGGGGTGAAGGGAGGCGACAACGTATTTTCTGGATTAGTATAAAGAATTATACAAGTAATATACCAACCACCAATTGCTTTCGAATCTTGAAGGAATGAAACTGAAAAAATAACCTCAGATCCCTATCTCTGTAGGTTGGTTTCCTTCCTCCTTCCCTCTTCCCTTCATTCCTACTTCTTTCATCGTTCCTTACGAAAATACTTGTTGATCACAACAATGACTGGGACCAGACATTGTTCTAGGCACTGAGAATATAGAACTAGGAGTTGGAAGGGTAAATGATCACTACGATCACTATGACAGCACAGGGGACTAAGCTAAGGCCGCTGGCAGGGTGAAAAATGAAAGGGTGACAACAAGCTCACATACCTTTCTTAAAAAAAAAACCAAAAACATGGTAATTCTACTGCAATTACTTTTCTTTAAAGAAACACATTTTTGGGGTGCCTGGGTGGCTCAGTCGGTTAAGTGTCCGAATCTTGATTTCGGCTCAGGTCATGATCTCAGGAGATGGAGCCCCATGTCGGGCTCCGCGCTGGGCGTGGAACCTGCTTAAGATTCTCTCTCCCTCTCCCGCTCCCTCTGCCTCTGCCCCTCCCCTTGTGCCCTTTCTCTGAAATAAATAAATAAATCTTTAAAAAAAAAAAAAAAGAAAAAGAAACACATTTTCTGTGGAAAAAACTGAAAAAAATTTTTTTTTAAAGATTTTATTTATTTATTTGACAGAGAGTGAGAGA